CTGTGAACAAACTGTAAGGTAAGGTAATCATGGAATATACACATTTGAAGGTAAGGTAATCAATATGTGTAAAGCTCAACCATCGGTTATTTATCACAATTAGTCTATTATTCTTATGTCGCCTTTAGTATTATAGGATATTGTATGTAAATTCGATTAATATACTGTAGTGCATTGACAATGTACTGAACACTGGCTACGTACAGCTAAATACATACAACATCACAGAAAAGAGAACAATTGAATGTCTGGAAAATGTATTCCTAGCTAAATCAGTCTTGGAAGTACTCGAGAAACAAACGAGTGCGTTGGTAACTGCGTGCGAAGTATATATAAAAGAATCAAAAATCAATGTTAAATGGCACAATAATGACAAATATTTGTTAAGCATGCATGGAAACCGACTCTGTAAAATGATGATATATCTAAAGTGAATTAATTTTATGAGCGTTCAGTTAAAGTTAATATAGGGGCGCCGAGTTATATTGGCTGTTGCCCTAGGAATTTGATTTCTCGTGCTGGGGAATATCTACCAGTTTGGTTAAATAAAGGTGTAGTGAGAAGCACCAATAGCTCAATGTTAGAACACGTGGTCAAAACTGGTCACAAAGCAGCCAGCATTGAAGAGTCCTTCCCCATCATCTATCGGGTACCAAACAGACTGCCAAAAACATTCAGGTTCCGCTTACTCCAAACAGCAGAGGCTATCGTCATTCACCCTAAAAAACCAGTGCTTTGTGTGCAGAAGAAACAAGTCCAGCCACTGCTGCTGCCCTGGCCTTCAGTGGAGGCTATAAATTCATGAATTTATATTGTTATCTTTCCTAATTAGTCTGATATTCAGTGTTTGGTGTTATGCTGATGCTATCGAACTGTAATCCATTGATATTAATATTGATACGATGTTATTTAAACAACATTAATGTTGTTAATAACACTAATTCATTCATTCACTATTATATGAATATATAACTGTAGAGCCTGATGATGAAATTATCGAAAAGCATATTCTTTGTTCAGTAAACATTCTTTTGAAAAAAATTTAATAGGCTTTCATTGCTAAATCTCACTTTCACCTGTAACGGTATTAATTAGATATATTTATTCTATTTTTAAAGTTTTCTGTTTGACCTTAAAAGTAGTATAAACAATTTTCTATTGCTTTTTGGTATTGGTTTCTAATTCCAAAAATATTTTACTTGAACTCATGTATACGAAATAAACGATGAGGTTATAAAGAGAAATAAATTTCCCACATTATCCCATCTATATTTTACTCCCACGAAATTGCTGTTAGCATACACATTAGAATTACATATTTGTAGTACCATAAAGATATTTTGTAATCCACATTTCAGAATTTATGCGAAGACCTCTTCACATGAACTCCTCCATGTCACCCTCGCACTGACGACCAACTCGCCGCTTCCCGTTTGGGTTCCACTCGAGAGCCATTCGTGTGATGATTTTCTCAGAGTATGTCCAATCCACCTCTATTTCTTTCTGAATATTTGCTGCACAATCGGTATAATTTCTAAGAAATATTTGCTGTTACCTTCCGAGCACGCACAAGTAAACCCTCCTATTACTTTGCCTACCAGCATTACTGGTTACAAGATACCTCTAATTGGTACTGCTGACCTTACTGTGAAGTCACAAATTATTATTGTTGTAAATAATGCCTTCCTTGTTGGTGAATAGGGTCCATTCTTATTGGGATTAGAGGCTCTTTAAGTGTTTAATGCCTAAATATTCCTTTTCACGGAGTGTGTCAGCAAACCAGTTCTGCAATGTTCAGGGTATGTAGGTGGTAAACTTAATGCTTCGGATTCGTATCCATCATTATCATCTGGTTTTATAACTAATGGTACGCATTCCAATAAGGATGAATTTATTGTAAAGCTAGAAATCCAGTCTTTACGTCGTTTAGATGTTCAATTACGTAGTCAGGTCCAACAGTTGCTTGCTGCTTAACGAACACGTCGGAACGATTAGAATCATTTAGAGAAAGTTTTAGAACCAGGATTCTATGTTTACAATTTTTGATAGTTTTCAGCATAAAACAAAAGTTAAACTTGAGACACCCAAGGGCGCGAACACACCAATGACCTTGGCAAGTTGAATTTATTCCTCTGATTCTCATCTGTGCCTAACCTAACCCTAGTATCATCTTCCTCATTACGTTAACTTAACATGTCGCTAGCCTAAACCTAATCTGGCAAGAGTAAAGAATAGACACCAGGGTCAAATAACTTTGAACCAACCAATCAGATTTCCCAACACTGCAATACTTTTCAGAATCTTCTCTGCAAGTCTAGCTCTAATTAAGAGTCGAGGAGGGACTAGACTTAAGGTGAAACTTGTAACGAAGATTATGCGCAGCATGTATTCGCAATGCTGAGCAGTGTTACTATCATCTGGCTGGCTGGATTCAACATAGAACTTGGCACCGAAGTGCAGCAGTTCGAGTTGCCACATTTCAAATAGCACACAAAGGTAGACAAGAAAATGAGTGAAGAGAATCAGTAGAATTTAGACAAGTATAAGAGTGAAACAGAATGAGTTATGGTAGAAAGGAATAAGAAAGATTACAGAGACTGAATACATCTGCGTAAGCCATTGACAACGATTTTGAGCCATGTCACCATTGATTCTTAGAGTCCTGAGGGCTGGCCCCGACCCGGAAGTCTGCATCTCCCTCCCTACCTGACTCAGTTTAACTGTCAAGGATTTCATGGATTGATGAGGCCATGTTTTTGTTTGGCCACCACTTACTCTTTTCCAACCTGCACCTATATCAGCTAGTAATGACCGTCGTGGGAGGCGATGGCTAGGCACGCGCAGCACGTGACTTAGCCATCTTAATCTATGTAACTTTATAGCCTCTTCGATTGATTTTCCCTCTCTGCCCAACACTCTACGCCTAACGTCAACATTACTTACCTTATTATACCACCTAAAGTGAGAAAGAGATCGTAAACATCTGTGGTCAAAAACAGACAATCTCTTCATGTCTTCCGCTCTCAATGGCCACGTCTCACCGCCATAGAGAAGGACGGAGCGAACTGCTGAGCAGTACACACGTCCCTTGGTTGATAGCCGGATGTCACGCCTACGCCAGAGACGGTGTAAGTTAGCGAAAGCAGCCCGAGCTTTTTGGATCCGTGCTGAGATTTCGTCACCAATCAATCCGTTACTATCATCACTTGGTTATGACCATCATAAAGTCAATCATTATTAGAATTAGTCGATCCTAAAACTAGTGCTCATACAGATTCTAGTTTATTTACTATATTCACTCCTACGGAGAACTGAGACGTTTCTCCCCTGCATATTACAGACATGTAACTTATATAATTTATTTTCGTTACACTATACAAATACTTCTTTATACTATAAATGCCACTTTCTTTCCCAAAAGCACATGATTGGCTGGCTCAAGGTCATTTGACTGTGATGTCTATTCTTTATTGTTGACTCTTGATTACACTTCATTCAACAGTTTCCTTATAGATGTAGTAGTGCTATTCACCTGGTTGCACTGCTCTGACCAGACTGAGTGTTTCCAACCTCTTTGATGCGTTGACGCAATGTCCATATATGCAACCGTAGAAAAAAACAACTCATCTTGTAGTTTAGAATTGCATTGCAGTAAAGTAACAACAAGCGAAAATAATAAGTTCATGACCTATTTTGCTAACTGCGCTTATCCAAAACCAATCAAAGCTAAATAATTTAATCGCAACAAGTCTTATGACTTGTTATTAAGCAATATGAAGGGGTAGAATAAGTATGAAAATATCTCCTTTTCTATGCATCGAAATGATGAAGTCAGATAAAGTATTTAAGATTGCATAAATAGGTTCTAAGGATGCTTTACAGTTCACACAATCGATTAGGATCGAGGGAATGATTAACATAAATGATGATGTACTCGTCGAGGTGATAATCACTTGTAGCCTTATTTATTCGATAATAAGGACTTACATTTAAGTAATAAGAGATGCAACTCTGGGTCTCTTAAGATAGCATTATGTGAGAAAACATAAATGTGATGTATTTGTACGCAATACACGTTACGAAAAACTTGATAACATTTAACCGTTAAGCAATCTAATCGATATGAAAATAAATAAAATATTAGATGTTTGAAAATTGGAGTTGTAGCTCATTGGTCTAGACACAGAACTTCCAACCACTCGGCCACGGGTTCAAACTCTGCCCTACATAGTGGAGTTCAATATGGAAGAAAGCAAGTTGTAACACTACTCCTTTTGGAAACACAATCGTATATGACTGACGGCAGAAGATATGAACATTTTACTAATTGGATCCCTAGATACATTTTGTATTCAGCAAAAAAGCGAATATAACGATTTTATTTGAAATAATCAAGAATATTATTGTTATTATTATCATTAATCAACTTCGTCTCTTATAATCCTACATTCCCCTTTAATTGAGATTATTACTATGCGAGGATCGATCAAGTATGACTATTGACTTAATGTGACTTATTATACTTTGACATTAAAGTTTCACTCGACGAGCACCAGGTTCGATTCCCTCTCCACTTCATCAGTCCTCACATACAATATTATTATTATAGTAGAACACATACACCATAGGCATTACGAGATGCACCACACGAGGTCTCATAGTTTATCCGAGGGCAGGGGTACTGCCGTCCAGAAGCCCAGACCGAAGCAAGTCGCTATCTTAAAAGTAGTCACTCCCTGCCCACCCCTTAATTATTGACTTGAAGTCAGATCTCCAAAGCAGTATGCAGCAGCATTCCCATGGTTTCCCGTAACCAAAACAGGTCCTTCCGGATCCTGAGGCCCATACACATACCCCCATAGGTTTGGAATCAGGGTTTTTCAGTTCTTCTATAGGTAGACCTACGTGTCATCCATCAGTCCGAAAAATCCATGCCAGGGTAATTGAGTTCCAGTTAAATGTGATTGTGCATGTACATTACTGAGTAAAACTCATTCAAAGAAGAAATAGAAAACAGTTATTATTTTGATTATCACTAGATTCTTTTCTTTAATAAATACTACAACAATGGAACAACTGTACTCCGTCACCTCACATACACACATGTAAAAATACATACTAACCAGTCTGATTTAAGAGAAAAAAGCGATAGACAAAGGAGCGGAGAAAAAAAGTATATAAAGTACTTTATATACTAAAATCCTATACAAGAAAGAAAGATAAACGGTGGTATTACAGGGCTGTGAAGTTCGAAGAGAAAGAGAAGACAAACAATCAAGTAAACGAGATACTAGTTCGGTTTTTTTCCCTCACTCACTACAGAAAAATATGTATATCAGGGATACTGGTGACATGCACACACATATAGCGATGATTGTAGTACTAAAACATTTTACTTAGATAATGAATGAATATAGACTAATTCGAAAAACACAAGAAAAGAAAAAGAATGCATTGAGAAACAGTAGAATGTCGAAGTAAAATGGTTGGACAACCAATTTCAAAAAAAAAGATATTTTGATTATATCCGGAAGAAAAGATCACACTGGCGAGCTCGCATACACAACAGAACAGTTATAATAATAATACTAATTGTAAGTAATTTGTAAGCATCTTTGATCAACTCTGGAGTAAACTGCACTGTAGATTATTAGTTACTTTTAGCCCGTGAACGACCATTTATCGCCTACAAATAGAAAGTTTAAACATGAAATAAAGGTCAGTAATAAAATCTGAATTGAATACAAATTATAAGAAGGCATTAATGGTTGAAAGTGCTTAATGCTACAAGAATTGCTTCAGACAGTAAATATTTAGCTTTAGGTACCACCTTACCCACTAGGATTTTTATTCGTTACTTATGCAAAGAGGCCAAGTTATGTACTGGGACGTGCTTATGAAAGCCACCCTGTAAGGAAAGTGTCTGTGATGATTTGTTGTACAGATAGGTGAATTTGTGGCCCACTAGTCTAGACGCACGACTTCTAACCACAGGTTTGAGGCCCCTGAACCCTACCTACCGAGGTTTGGGCTGTCACACTGGTTCTCACACAATATATATGCGCAGCTCTGTTAACTGTGAGTTGGAAGTTTGAACTCAGTTCTAGAATAAGTCTTTCATGTCCCAAGCCATGAGGCAAACTGTTCGTGTGAAAGCTGATGATACTACCCAATTGTCCAGGTTGACACATAGGTGGAGTGGAATTCAAACCGAGGACACACTGGCTTAAAGCCAATGAATGAAAGCCTACCTCGCCAGGAGGTATAAGTGATGAAAGCTGATAGAAGAGCAGACAGGAAAAGTTTTCATGTTAACACAGGGGACCAGTTTCGATTGAATGTCACATAGGTAACATAGAGCAGCGGATGTTTTTTACTGACCCCATTGGTACTTTTGTTTCATAAAATAATGATGAAATGACTAATTGGTTTCAATATGGAACTTTGCACAGAAGTTCAGCAGTTCGAGTTGTTACACTCCTTGTAGCACACAAAGAAAGATAAATAAGAGAAAAGAAGAGATTCAAAAGGATGATAATGAGCAGAAATGTGAAGAAGAACGAATGGTAACACGGGAAAACAACAGGCTTTAACGAATATGTTAGATCACAAAGAGTGAATGTATCTGTACCAGCCACTGGGAATGATTTCGAGCCATATCGCTGATTGTCCCCATCCAGTCATTGGATCTTAGCATCCTGAGGACGCCAACCAGGAAGGCTACACCACCCTACGTGGCTGGCTCAAACTAACTGTCAAGGATTTCATGGACTGATGACAAGTGTTGGTACAGGATGAAGTGAATAATGTTTACTTTGTGTGCTTCATATCATACAGATATCCACCAAGACTGAGTGTATGCAGTAATTCAACTCACACTTAAATGGTAAGGGTTTGATAGTAGTCATATCCTGTCAAAATGATGCAATTCCATCTACATGTGAGTGAAACGGAAAATGAATGAGCCACTTACAAATTAGTGCACTTAGGAATGAGCTACACGGTATGGTGTGAGGACTGGTGATACAGCTTGAGTATCTAAACCTCACTAGGTAGTGGTACAGTGGAGTTCGAACCCATCGGTCTAGCTCAATAAACCACAACGAAATAGGAACCAAAGCAAATGACTGAAACAGAGACAAGTGAAACATTTCACCCTGATCATATAGAATTAATCGATAAGCAAAGAGGTTAAAGGTCACAAGTTTTAATCCAACGATGAACTTAGCTTTCTATCTTAATTTGAATTACCAATCGAATTATCGATCAAAATAAATCTGTCAGACTAAATGTATCCATTCTAAAATAACTTGTAATGCACATGAGTGAAACACAAGATAATTCAAATAATATTGATTAATAATCCTTAACATCAGTATTCTTTACAGATTAATAGAGTAGACTGACATTAACTGTGATGCTAAGACGTTAGACCAATTAAAATTTGAATATAATACGGATATGAAAACCTACCTCTAAAAGAGTTTTACCCAGTTGAGCTGGAGAAGGAGTAACAATTACACCTGCACTTTCTAAAGCTGCCATTTTTTCCTTAGCACCTCCTTTACCTAAAGAAATGATAGCTCCTGCATGACCCATACGACGACCAGGTGGTGCTGTTACTCCAGCAATGAAAGAGACAACAGGTTTACTGTTTGGACCCTAAAACAGGGGTAAGAAAAGGGAAAATAATTATTAATAATAATAGCTTTATTCTGAACAGTATGATCTTCAGATAAAAATATTAATTGACAGTAGATCCTGTGACAAGGCGAGAAACACATTCATTAGCCTGAAACCAATCTGGAAATCTTCGTCACTCAGCATCAACAACAAAATACGGATTTTCAATACAAACGTCAAGTCAGTCAGTTCTTCTATACAGATCAGAAACTTGACGGGTCACCAAGAATATTTCCAACAGGTTGCAGATCTTTATCAACAACTATCTTCGCTCTATACTAATGAAGATCAGATGGCCGGAAAGAATCACCAACAAGAAACTATGGGAAGAAACAAATCAAGAACCAATCGCTCAACAAATATGCAGGAGAAAGTGGAGATGGATTGGATACTTGCTGAGGAGGCCGTTGGGTGGCATCGCACGTCAGGCCCTCGGGTGGAACCCGAAAGGGAAGCGGCGAGTGGGACGTCCAAGGGTGACATGGAGGAGGTCGTGTGAAGAGGAGTTGAAACAGTATGGACTAACATGGATGCAGGTGAAAAGTACAGCAGAAGACAGAAGCAAGTGGAGGCGTGCAGTTGAAGTCCTATGTTCCACTAGGAACCCAAGGGAACAATAATAATAATAGATCCTGTGACACGACGCTGTATGACCTGAAGCGCAAACCAATCCACTTTGATATCTTTTCTTTGTTTTCTGAGAGAAATGTACGACATTTGGTTGGAGGTCAATTGTGAAAAGTTTAGGAGTACATTTGGAGACCCAAGGATATAACTCAGGAACAGTTACC